GTGTCGACGTACATACAGCCAATTTTGAATTGGCCATCAACAATTTTAATTTTAAGATAAGATAGTCTAATTATAAATTTATCTCAATGAATTTTTGAAAACATTGATATAATTAGGCGTAACRCTAGTTAAAAATCTGAGAGTGAGCAGAAGGGCTTCTATAACCGTAATTAAATAATAAATAAATGTTAATTAGTAAATAATCATTTGTTTTATGTATTTAAAATAAAATCTGTTACCTACCAATTCATAAGAACCTTATTAAAATTAATCAAATTTAAAATTTCCCTATCACTCTGAATTTAAATTAAAAACATCATTACTTATAATTATTATTACTAAAAATATAATTTAATATACATTTATTTCATAATAAATTATCATATTATTTTATCGCAAAAAAAAATATCTTCACAGTCGGAATACTTATTATAGGCCAAACTAACAAAGTAAATGCAATTAATGATGTACGCAACACTAAGAAATGTATAATAGTGGGGGAATGTACATGAATCTACACAATTTTTATTTTTTTTTTTAGTATAAAGACTCTAGGCCATCTATACAATTACTATGGTATTATACTCGTATATGAATTGCCTATTAATAGATTATCATTAAATTATCAAGATATACGATATAATAATATATATCATTCTATTTACTTGCTATTATAATAAATATATTTTTCCTACAAGAATTTCTGCACTTCAACTATTGGCATTAGTAATAAATAAATCTTAAAAATCAGGCAAGAGATAATATTCAGAAACTGTGTACCAATATCCCGTATCCCTACCTTATGTCACCACTGAATTTATTTAAAACATATTGTAGTATTGTACAGCATAATTTGTAATTGATGATTTAAAAATATTTCAGTATTCATATAAAATAAACTATAGTAAAACAATCACACATACCTATTTATACTTTTGTGCATATATTTTTGAACATTCTACAATATAATTATTATAGATAGATCCAGCTTGAGGCAGATCGAGCTGTGTAGTGACACGGAGCTTTGTGACTTGATGCAAATATAAATTGTTTAGGACCATAGTTCATGTATTCATCTAATGGTTCATATTCATCAATCGAAGTGTCTCTGAGGTAACACTTATAACACCCACTACATAGGTCCAACAAAAACATTGCCCACATAACCTCAATATTCACCAAACTGGTCCTAAATAAAGTATTATAAAAGGCACAGTGGTATCCCCTTTATTTCAAATTATAGTATGAGTAAATATTGAAATGTATATTATTATATTTATAAATTTATAATTATTAAAATTACGAACAGAGTGCTCAATATTATTATTTCAAATGTGATTACCTACTTAATTACCACTTCATATAAAAATATAAAAATAATAAAAATAAATTATACATTTTTCTAATGTGTTCAATATAACTTAGTAGGTTAGGTAAGTTAAATCTAACTGAGCTTAGCCACCTCCTAATCCTTATTATATATTATAATATAGTATTTAGTATTACGTTTTTTTTTTTTTTTTAATGTTATTATGTTCGAGGTTAAATTGAATCTCTTTAATAATATTTGAGGTTTTTTTTCTAATTATATAGTGGTATGCTACCGAGTCCTGTTACGTATTTTGAAGGCGTACAAAATGAAAACAAAACAAATGCTGGAAGGTCTCCTGAGGCTAGATTTGGATACATACCGTCTTCTTTTGGCGGAGCCTCGACTGGAATGGGCGTGAGTATAAACTAATATAGGATATAACATTACAATGTGTGATGTAGTATTGATTGTATGCATTCATTAAATTTACAAAACTTAAAATTATTTACTAATAAACAGATTTAGAACTATAGAAATATTTTTTTWATTGTTTTTTGACTTTTTAAATATAATATATGTTAGGTGTATATAATGTAAAGTAATATTGTAGTAAATTACGAAGAGAGTAAGCAAAGAAGTTTTTCAGGTAGGTGAGGATGAGGTACAAAAAATCTATTGCATACTTGTTATATAAATTAAAAATAATTTTTATTAAGATAATATTTTTGTTTAAGGGATATCAAGGAAATTCAATCAGTAGCTATGGATCCAATAAAATTGATATAGGAGGTCTAGTTGTTGGCGCTGTCGTAGGGCTTGGTATTTTAATTTTCATCCCGAAGATTCTTTACTTACTGTTTTCAACAACCAATCTTTTTGGTGCTCATCCAGTTGGCAGCAGTTACTCAGGATATGGAAGGAGTGAGTTACCACAATCATAATTAATTATTATAATTAATATTAGATGTATATTATAATAATTTTTTAGATGGCCTTAATTTATTTAAATTCATTTGTTTTACCTTTACTTAATTTTTATATATTTTKTATACTTTTTTATAACTTATTTTGATTATTACTTATAAAATAACCTATAACTATGTCTTATAAAATTACATTATTCTACTTAGTTGGAGGTTTATATTAAACCTAAGTTGATAAACAAAGTAGATAGGTATAAAAAGACTGAAATAATTCAATGCATTTTATTTTGTTTTTTTACATTTTRTTGATTTTTAAAAGAAACCATTCCGTTTAACACTTAGGTGAGGATCTAATGTCTGGTTTAAATGGTATAATCACAAAGTTTGAAGAGTCCATGTCCAAATATAATATAAATACAACAGAGTGTATKCAAAAAGCACTTTGTACTTATATACAGTCCACGGAACAAGTTAAAGAAAAATCAGCAGTCAACAATTTTGTGGACACTTCAATAAATACATTAACACAGTATGTATTGTTTATATTGTTTTTAGAGTCACGATAAAAAAGCGTTTTTTCAATAATTTATTGCAAAACTTTTCTTAGGAACTCTGTAATGAATTTTATGATTGATGGTTCAAGATTCAAATCAGCTCTTGAAGCTGGGAAGAATGGAGAGTGTACGAAAACCTATAAACTATGTCCATTCGACCAAAACAGCATTTATATGTTCTTAAGACAAATTTCTACTAAAAAGTAAATCATATTTTTTGTGACTTTGCATATAAAGTTATTGTATCCATATAATTTAAATTAAATTCGTACTTTTATAAGTATATTAGAAAATACATTATAGTTTATTATAAAATATTAATATTTCACTTTATTTATTTTATTTTTATTCTCTTACCTATATATATAAGTATATCATGTTTATACGTATTATTATTATATGAATTACTGTATAAAATAATCACAAAAACATTTGTTTTTATAAATTTAAAGGTTCTACAACTATAGAAAAAATGTCTATCGACAACCTACTTATAARWTACCTATTGTCATTTATGAATTATTTGTATTACTATATTTTTTTTGGTTTTAGATTATGAGCAGGGTTACATGTAAGCAGTTAATTTTGTGACGAAAAAAAATTAAAAAATTATACACGGACTTTGCCCTAACGTAACTGTAAATAACTTACCTATCCCAGTATCCCTGCTCTTGACACTATTAAAATATASTTAGGACTAAACTTTGATAAAAGACTAACATGGCAAAATCATATTATAAAAAAAATTAATAATTAATGCCCGCTCCCGTTCTCTAAAAGTATTACTTTCTAAAAATAAATTCACATCTTTAAAAACAAAACTTCAAATATACAAACCACATATACGAACCACATTTCAACTTTATAATATCATAATTGTTAGAGATAAAAGAAACTAACTACTTACCTATTTTTGCATTTATACTAATATATATAATAAAACTCCAGTTTTTGGGTATCACAGGACCCAACATAATTATTTTGATTCGATAAGATATACATTTTATTTTATACTTATTATATTAAATTAATCCTACTACTCACGGCTCACACAAAGAACATAATTAGTTTATTTGATTAGAGGTTAGTCCAATACTTGTCATTGAACTATATTAAAAATGTTAACACTTGTTTTTAATTTTTTTATTTTCGAGCAATGGTGTACGAAGACGTTTTGTCTCGTTGAATCGCAATAGTTTAATTTCGGGAGAACGCTCTTAAATTAAATCGTGTATTTCCAATATTATTATTCATACTTGGTGTTTAAAAGCCACATTTAATTATTAATTAACTTTTAAGATTAATACATTTTTTAAATGTGGTTATTCGACACAGTGCCACGTTAAGCTATGTTGCCGCCCTGGGGCAAATTAAAATATGCTACCCTTAATTTTTTATTTTATGTTGATCCTTAAAAATTTTCCGCCCTATCAAACACCATAAAATTTGCCGCCCCTGGGCAGTTGCCCCTCCTTGCCCTCCGTTAAATGCGGCTCTGATTCGACATTCAAATCATACTCATTCACCTAGTGAGTAATGCGTGTAATGCACTTTAATAAAATTTGTTATTTTTGTCATGTATTATTGCGAAATAAATAAAAAATGATTTTAAAATATTATTTATACTATTTAAATATTATCAATTTATGTGGCGAACACGTATATACGCTATGTATATCATGTAGTTAAACCTTCCGGTAGATTACAGTACGTTAAATTCAATTTCTAAAGTAAGTGTACAATTTATTTTCTTAGCTGTTTTACTATAAAACATATTATTTCGATTGGAATTTTGTTAATAATCACAGAATAAATCAGTATCTGTGTTTAACATCATCAGGTGTTAGTTTCATAAGTCACTAAATAAAACAATAATGGGTAGACATTATAAACACCCATTTTTCTTTTGAAGTGGATGTATGTAAATATAGTTTGCATCCTATAAATATATTTTTCCCACCCCCCTTAAAAGTAGCCAGTACGGCCCTGCAGTAACCTACTGTACAGTAGAGTGACATCCACTTACCCACTTTTTTATTATTATAATTACTAATTTATGAGATTAAATTACCTTTACTGGGTATGTATTCATTCTATTGATCGGTGATTCTCATTCTCAGCCTTTTTTGTATGATGGTACCTTAATTTAGATCCATAAAAATAACAACCCTTAACACGAATGGATTTTATAGTTTTGAAAAGTGTAAACAAAAATTTTTTTAATATAACTCCAAGACATTTAACCGTATATAGACACTTCAAATTTTCACAAAATATTTTGACTCTTTTTGGAGTATTTATAGCCACGGGAATTTTTTAAAATTATTGTCAATGAAATATTTTTCACCAGGTAATAAAGCTTGAAAATGCAATAATGTAAGATTTCCTCATAAGTTTGTATAATAGCGGTTTAAAAATGTTAAAGATACATAGATACGATTATATTTTATACTTATGTATTAAAAATTAAAATTTGGGAAAATTCATAAAAAAACGAAAAGTTGCAAATCATTTTTCAGTTGGAAATTTATAAAATATTTTATTTTTAAATCAAACATTTTATTAAGAAATTTTATGAAGATGTGGACACGCTATTATTATTGACATTTTTATACTACTATAATTACTATAATTTTCTTGACAGGTTTTTTAAAACTTTATTTGTGATTAAATCATGGTAATTTCTTGATAAGAAAAAAAATTTTGTTAGGTGAAATTGATTTTGTAGAAGGAGACATTGGTACCGGGAAGAGATAAACTCATTAACTTGGCTCAAGTGTTCAGTATTTGGAAAAATGTCTTGGTGGGGCTTGAAGGTATTAGCTAGATGTTCGGCAAAAATAAGGGATTTTTCTTCGTCTGTTGACGCTAGCAGATTATTACTTGTGAGGAGAGGTGGAATGATTTCTCGGATTTTAGTTAATTTTTTGTGACTCTCCATAAAGAAATTGGGAGTGGGTTTTAAAGAGTAGATATAATTCTCATACTGTATGGCTTTGTGCTTGATAAGTTCTTTTTTTAGAAGATTTGATAGGTGATAGAAATTCTATCATAGAATATTTTTTTGCCGCTGGGGAGACGAGAATTTTGCCATGTAGATCTCGCATTTCTTTTTTKGTTTAAAAGGAATCGTAAGTTGAATGGAGAGTGTTTTTAGGTGGTGAATTAACGGGGGTAGATTTAGTTGAGGAAATAGCTGCTTTTTTATAATTTCAACCAAGTTTTGTGCTGCATTCTCAACTTGATCTTGTGTTTTAAGTGAAACTCTAAGATCTATTAAATTGTCAAGATTTGTTTTGAATAAATCCCAGACGATGGGTCCTTTGGTGAGTGAGGGCCAATCATTTTGTTTAGGTGATCCACCAATTGAGAGGATTACGGGGGTGTGGTCACTGGAGATATGACAGATATTACTGATATATTAAGATGGTTTGGGATATTTGTTATGAAGAAGTCGAGTATATCTAGGTTGCGATTTTAATGTGAGGGTCAGCAGGTAGGTTGGGTTAGGCAGGCTACTATGCCAAACACATCACCCATTACCCCATTGAAACTGAGTGACAGAAGAGATGGGAGGTGCCGAAACCGGTCGTTGGACCAAAACGCTAATTCCGAACGTAGCAAGTTGGACGAGTAGGAGATTCGGCAAGGTGAATTATCATCTTGCACAGTTTCTCTCCGGGCATGGGTGCTTTGGCAAATACCTATGCAAGATACAAAAAGCCGAAAATACCAGCTGTGTCGACTGCGGAGCGGCGATGGACGACCCGGAACACGCGTTATTCTCGTGCGACAGGTGGTGGCAGCAGAGGAGGGAACTGGAGGTGCAAATCAMCACGGACTTCACTCCACCAAACGCCATCGCAGTCATGCAGGAATCTACGCGCAACTGGGATGCAGTAAACAAGTACGTGGATCTCATCCTGATCGCAAGAGAGAAGGAGGAAAGAGAACGCCAACGAGGACCACAAGCTAATGCCTTATTAACGAACTCGTTAGTTAAGTCTGCTTTATTATGGGCCAAAGGCCACTATTTTTTAGATAGCGTAGGGCTATCTGTTCTTTTTTGAACCACGGCTGTGGTCGTAATTTCTAAAAAAAAAAATGTTGTGTTTTTTTTTTTGTATATTATTTTGAACCAACCAATAAACTAAACGATGCGGGGGAGCTGGCGAATTGCCTCACCAGGTATTTCCGGCCCCCTGCGATAACACGTTAAAAAAAAGAAAAAAGGTTAGGCAGGCTGTTGGTAACTTTTGTAGGCTGGGCATCCTCGATAGTTGGCTGGATGGGGCCCTCCGCATAATGTACATTTAGGTGGCTCATCTTTGGACTTGGAACATTCATTCGTCGAGTGAGAACCGTCACATTTTACGCAACGGGTCTGGGTAGTTTCAATAGTTCTTTGTGTGCCCAAAGTTTTGGCATCTATGGCATTGGGTTAATTGTTTTTTCGAGTGAGGTTCATCGAATTTGACTACTGAGTGGAAAATTAGGTTTATTTTGAATATGTCGTTATTATTTGATTCGGGTTCAAGATCTACGAAGAAGAGAGGGAGCGGTTTTTGTTTGATTCTGCAGAACGTTTGTAACTTGCTTAACTTTGAAACCATGCTATGATAATTCGTCTTTAATAAAGTCAAGGGGAGTAAACTAATGTAAATTACGGAGTACTACTCGGAATGTTTTTTCGTCTTTGATCTGGTAGGTGTGGAAATTGACTTCTTTCAATTTAAGTAATTGGACAGCTTTTCTGAAGGTATCAAGTGTATTTAATAATTGTAGTTTGATTCCTGATGTGTTACTCTTGTAAGTAAAATCATCAGTGTCGCAACATAGTTTAATTGCAGTGCAAAATTTAAGAAAATTTACATAGGATTTTATAAAAATAGGTGGTGGTTTGTGGATTATAGGTTCGGTAGATTCGGTCGTTTCCATATTATGATCATCTTCGATGTCGAGATTACCGTATCGATTCGGTGTTGTGAGAAAGATTCCTCTTGGGTGTTTATATATTGGAGATAGTCCAGGTAATTAAGTTGAAGGTCATTTATTATTTTTAGGTGTAGCAATTACCCAGTCTTTATCAGAAAGTGTATTTTCGATTATCGACCGATTGAGATTAGAGTTTGTTTGATTGTGCTTGGTTATAATGATGGGCGTAATGAGCCATTAGTGGTTTTAGATAACGGCCGGGCCGGCGATGCCAGCGGTGACTGAGTTTTTTTTGACATTTTGTTGTTAAGAGTTAATTATTATATGAATAATAACTTACCCAGATCCCGAAGGATCGAGAGACAGTAGACGTTCTTGAAATAGTTTTTCTTAAACTAAGCTCGGTATTTCTTAAATACCTACTATCTTAATATCTCAACAATTATGCTCTGTGTAGTGTAAAAAATGAATGTTCCTTTATTTGTTATAAAATCAAAAATATATTTTCGTTTTATAAACATACCTACCTATTTTAACAAAGTGGCTCACTTCAAAATAGCTTCATAAATTTGCTGCTTCCAAAATAAAGGTTAGTGACCACCCCTGGGTTATAGGTATACTGCAGCTGTTACGTCAGTAAGTTTAACATATACGTCTGTATATTCATGTTGTTATCATATTTTTAGGTTTGTTTACTTAGAAGATTGTGGACACTATAGAATCTATAGGTTTAACCTTAGATCATATACAATCTAAGGGTTTAACAAAATGGATGAACCAAAATAATGAAGAAATATGTTTCTTAATCTTAATCCTCTTATACAATTTTAATCTGATACTAATTACTCTATTTTATTATGTTCTATTCTTCTTGTGTTCCAACTATAAATTCAATCTGCGTCCAAAATGTTCCTAAGAAATTTTTTATGAAATATTCTTATCATTGTTCTTTTTTTATAAAGCCCACGAAAACGTGTTACGTTGTTAAACGTCGTAGAGTTGTTTTGAAACCGTAGTTTGAAGCGTAAGCACAGAATAAATTAAATCTATTCTGTGGTGTGAGCATTATTATTTATTTATTTATAAGGTGTAATCTATATACTATGTTTTTAAGTGATATTAATACAATGCTTTTTTCTTTTAGTAAAAGAAGTGTTCATACTGTAAATAGATAATGATGGTATTTGTCTCAAGTTCAACGGCCGGCTTTCCAATAAATTCAGCAACTCCATAACTGTTATAAGAAATTATATATTACAAATTCTACTAAATATTAAAATACTAACACATTATTGTTTGTACTATACCGCAAMGAAGTTATTATCTTATATAACTGTATAGCTGTGTATAATTTATTATTGCCCCAATTTATATTTTATTCTGTGTTATTCTATACGAAATTATATTTTTTAGGTTAAAGGTGGAATTTTTGAAAAACTATGTAATAAAAATGAGTCGATTAAATAATTAATTTTTTAATTAATGCTAGTAGTATATATTTGTATGTTCACAGCCAGCTTTTCCACGGTAAAATTTTTTTTTCAAGTGGAAAATTCTCCCTTGGAGCACACTAATTTACCGCGTAACACAATACGGTGATTACACAAGATTGTCCACCTATTTGCGCCTTACACAAAAATATTTACCGTATCAACTATTTTTTCCCTTTTTTTWAAATTTTTTCAATCAAATATCGCTAATTTTTATAAAAAGGTCATAGGTTTAACTAGGGTTAAAATTCCGGTGGGCTACAGCCCCTTTAAGGCTTTAACAAAACTATGAATATAAAACATCCCGTTATAAGATCYATATGGGGAATCCCACCGCCCCTCTACATGCAATCACAACACTATATATGACACTATCATGAGTAATGTAAGTCAATCATAAAAATGGTATACTCTACTCAACATTTTATACACAACTAATAGTATCTTACTAATTTTATAAAAATGTATTAATATTATAATATATAACTAATTTGTAGTTTACCTGTAAAATAAGAGTAAGAAAAAAGAAAACAAATCAATTTTATAGTCAATAGATAACATTTTAATAAATTAATGGTATTTTTCTATCATGAGCATTTGCAAAATTTTTTAAAAATTTTTCTGTATCAATGTTTTAGATTCTGAACGGCGTGGAGTGATGAATGCATTGATTTTACAATGATGTGTGTTTTTTTTTTGTGTGTCTGCGTACAGCATAACTATTCGAAATAATGCTTCAATTTCAAACTTTGGGGGTGGTTTCCGATGTAAAAGTGAATATACTTGGTGTATTATAGAGGTCAAAAGTAAACACTTTCCAACAGTTTTCAAAAAAATCGAGAAAAACAAAAAAAAAGTGACAGAAAAACGGAATTTTTACACAAAACCAGTTTTCGACTAAATCAATTTTTGTATATGGTTGTAATTCAAAAACTAATCATTTTAAATACTTGAAACTTTCCCCAAATATTTAAATTAGTGTTATCTATATACAGTTTAATTTTAAAAAATTTTTGACTTTTGTTGAGTTATTTATAGATCACTGAAATTTTCGATTTTTATGAAAAWWWTTTTTTGAAGTGTCGGTAAAAAAATGTTGGATGACCAAAAAAACTTGAAAATTTAATAAAAGGTTCCTTATGAATTGTTCTTATTGTAGCTAAAAAAAATTAAAAATCATTAGTCACCATTTTCTTTTTATAAGCGTTTATAGTCAAATTTTAACGAAATCTGTCGAAAACGCGAAAATTTGCAAGGAATTTTGAAGTTGAAAAATCATAAAAATTTTTGTGTTAACTAAGGATTAAAAATACAACACTAAGTTTTCCATTAGTTTCCTTCAAGTAGCTATAGAGAAAACTTGAAACATCATTTGAATTTTAAATTTTYACGAAATAGCGTAACGATAACGATTTATCCTGAAACGATTTTCAATATTTGTTATTATTCAAAAAGTATAAGTCATAGATACTTAAAAAATTCACCAGTTATTTAGATTGGCATTTTCTTTACATGATTTAATTTTCTTTGAGATATTTATAGACGACTGAAATTTTTAATTTTTCTAAAAAAATTTTTTTGAAGTGTCGATAAAATTTTTTTAGCCCTATC